TTCATTTTTTTCCATCACTAGACACTCAATTAATTGCAACCAAGTCTATCAATTTCTAATTGAGAAGTGATAGACCAAAAGGGAGAAGTGAATACCTCCATTTCATGAAGATACTCGTAAATATCCGATGCATAAGACCCACAAAGTTGGGGATCATCATTTGTAGAATCGATATCCAGTTCCTTCTTGGCAGAAACATCCTCCTTCACCTCCAGCGTCATTTTTTCCGCCACCTTAACTTTCGTCGTCTTGGTCTTCGCCTTCGGCTTCTGGGTCGCCGTCCCCACATTCTGACTTGTCGAAACCACAACATTAGAGAGATTAGGAAGCTCTCCCAGAACAACCCTCTTCCTCTTTGCTTGTTCCTGCACCACTTCAGCGGCCTCCGCCGCCCTTTTCCTGGCGGCCGCCGCACGGGTAACCCTCACGGAGTTCTCCTGATCCGCCATCTCTTCACGCTCACTCTTTTCCACAACCCTTCTGCGCTCACAGACGGAAACAAGAGATAGGCTATACCCACTTCGGAGAGGGGAGAGGAGGAAGGAGACGTTTTGTAGTGATGAGAAAAGAGGCAGGCTGGGAGTAAAAGACTTGGAAGCGCCATTTTGTATTTTTAAAAGCCAGATGTTGGCGGCATTTTAGAAGTGATTTAGGAGGGCTGGGTTTGGCTCTGTTCACCTTTTTTTGGTTTTTTTGGGATGTTTGGGGGAGAGCCTTTTTTTTAGTTCCATTTTCATTTTCGATTTAAAACTTTAAATTTCGAAAACCGGAGGGCTTGAAAAATTGGAATTTGGGGAAGCGGCGCTGGGCTCTCTTCAATCTTCATTACGCACCCCGCGCCCGCGGGCTTCATATTTTTAACTCTTTTTCTTTTGAAGTCTTTTTATATATTTATTTTTAAAAAGAAAAATATCGTTTTTTCTGCCAAGTAAATTTTCTTGGGCTCACCAAACTTTCGTTTGGGCTTTTGAGCACCATAATTTTAATTGGATTAAGCCCTAATTGTTACCGTTGTTAAGTCTGTTTTTATATTAATATATATAATAAAAGTAAGTACGTTCTAACTTTAAAATTATCAAAAATATTTAATTACAATCAGCATTTAAGTGAAATTTCACTTAAAAAATGATTATATTTTACTTAAATACTAGTTCATAATTTGATGTCTTGACAATTTTAATATTAAAATGTCTTAATTTTACCTCTGCTCATTCAAATATCAATTGTTGTAGATTTTATTTCTATGCTTAAATTAAATTAATTTAAATTTTTTCTTTTCAAAATAAATTTATTAGGGTGAGAGAAGGCTCAATACAAGACGCATACAACCCCGTCCCCGTCTAGTGTTTCACTGAGAGACTTACATAGTAGCTATTTATAAGAAATTGCTGATAGTAAAAGGTAAAACCCAAATATAAGAATAAGTAGTGAGGAAATAAAACCTTAATAACTATGTTCCAAAAAAATTAATAATAACTTTTATAGAAGATGACATGTGGAATAATTAAGTAAAATTATGTCATGTTATAAATAATAATTGTTAGAGATTCAATTCAACCCTATGAAAGGCAATAAATGTAAACAGTTAGAGATTTAAATGTCTTAAATAACTTACATACCATATGGCAAAGAAAAAAGTGCATGAAAAATAGATTGAAAGTTGAAACTGAAACAATTATTACTGGCTTTATCAAATAGTGAACCAAATAGAAAATGCACGAAAGAATATAGAAAAGAAAAGAAATACAACAAAAACAAAACTAAAATCATGTGCTTGAGGGTGAAATCTGCGACAAAACAAGAAGTTCCCGTCCTCCAGCCTGTGCTTCTTGAAATGGATCATTCCCTGTCAAAATACAATTCCATCAGTCGAAATGGTTTTGCCAAAAATTAAAATAGAATCTTTTGCATTAACTAGCTACTATAGAAGTTCTCAAAGTTATATTCAAAACCAACAACATAAATAGTTCAACGATAATCTTTTTTCGCTGAAAATAAAAAATCTTGAATTTAAATCACATGACATGCGAATGAAGTAAACTAAAAGATGAGAAAATATTACTTCTTATTGTAGAACCAAAATAAAAAGTATATACATAATTCTAAAAGCATTTTTCTGAGTTTCACGCTCAAATCTCTCGTACCAATTTAAGGCATGTAAAATTAAAAAAAATTTGTACTTTGAGTACCTGCTGGGTAGAGGTCAGTCCAACGGGACAAATTGACATCAATAGCTTGTCCAAACTGAGAATGTTGCAAAAAATTGCTGTCATTCTCCAAACCACTTCTGGGACTTACGTGATCCTCAACATTCATGTCTTGCCCGTGAAGGAGAGTACAAAGTTCTGCATGTAAAATTTCAGCTACGCCATGCGTGGTCTGGTCTCTGGAAATAAAGGAATTAATTTAATTCTATGTATAGTTCCATTGATCTCAGATCAATTGAATACATCTGCATATTAACGCATAAGCACCTTTGTGGAAGAAGTCCATTTGAATCTAGAAAGTTCATAGTCTGAACTTGTGGGTATCTTTCTGGAATCCACTGATCCAAAATGCTGTTTGAAGTAGTTCCCTTTACGAAACCATTTACATCTGCAGTGTCTGGAGGATGTAACTGATTACAAACATCCACAAATTACTTAATCAGCTACCTCACCTAAATAAGTTGTGTCATAAGTTAAGCAAATGGACCTGTGTATATTTATTACCTGTGGTTCACTAGGAGAATTGTATTTTTCCTCTATAACTTGCTGTTCAATAAGAACTTCATCAGCACTACTGCTCTAGGGATATACATCAAATCAAAAACCAAATAAATATGCCAGTCAGAGAGACAAATATATCATACCTTGCGCATTTGTACTTGTTTCAGAGCTGCTTCTAGGATCTGCTCCCGGCACTCAGCCTCACACAATGTCATGATTTCTGAAACATCACCTTCAAAAACCCTTGGAAAAGAAAAATGAAAATGGACATTGTAATTTGTAATGGATGCTGTGACCAATATGCTTGATGAATTCCTGTAAATTTATATACCTCAGTCGTTTCTCCATATCTGCAATCTGAGACCTCAATTTAACTATCTCTTGTTGAGTCTCCTACAATTTTGAGTAAGATGTTTTCTCTTATTATATAGCAAATGTATACAAGTCACTATCAATCTGCTTAATTAAAGGAGTTTTGTTGCAAAAATACCTCTAATTGAGAATCAGTGCTAACAGTTGAACTGCTTCACACAACAGCAATAAAAAGATTAAAACTATATAGTTAGAATAATGGAGCTGAATTCAAGTGCCACAGGGAGATTATATTGAAAACCTGGCTAATTGACAAGCTTGTTCATTTTGATCGACTCTTGACTTGCCAAGCGCCTTCTGTAGAACTAGAAACTGCAATATTGATCAAATTTTTGCATCCAAATCAAAATTCCCAGTAACAATATTAGATGACGTTCATGTACTTAAAGGGTGTGCTTAATTAATTACCTCTTTATCTTTCAGCCTGTCAATTTAATGGTACGAGGCAGCAGTTCCACATAAGTATTAGACAAACGGAGGAAACAAATGAAGTAATGAACTAATAAAATCCAAGAACTAAGATGTCATGTCCTTACCGCCCTCGCTCATGCTCTGGAAGATTGATGTACCGTGCCAGAATCTCCTCAATGCTTCAAAAACACAAAAGAAAAACAGAATTTAATCAGCTGAAACTCAAGTGACACAAGCTGTAGCATAGTTGAATGTGAGAAAAAGAAAGAGGTAAAGTTGGAACCTTTTATTTCCAGAGAAGACAGTGGGTCTTCCAGAAGGGGAGAACGTGATGAGAGCAACATCTACATCACAGAGAACAGAAAGTTCATAAGCTTTCTTGATGAGCCCATTTCTCCTTTTTGAGAAAGTGACCTGCCTGTTTGATGTGTTCTCAATCCTCCTGATTTGAAGCTTTACTCTCCCCATGTCATGAGATTTAATCTTTTTATTTCCCCTCTCTTCCCTTTATATTTTCTTTCCCTTCTCTGAAGAAACCTGAAGCTCCATTAATTAATGAAGGGATGAAGGAAAGCAGAGTTTGAAAGAAGGATGAGAAGAGAAGGAAAAGGAGGAGATACAGACAATGGATTTTGTCACTGTCAGGCCACCCACGTAAGCTGACGAGGGAGATGAAGCAATGGCGGTGGAAGGCCATGTTTGTCAGGCCCTTCAGCAAAACAATGAAAGAGAGATTATCATTTCGTGATTTTCTCGTATAACTTCCTCCATCTATCTGCAGCAGAATAAATAATATATATATATATATTTTTTTAATTTTATATTGAAATTAAAATTTTAAAAATAATGTTTATTTTATTTATTTTATTTTTAAAAATAAATAAAAACAAATAATTATTTTAATTAGAGATTAAAAAATTAAGTTAAAAAAATATTTGTCTATAAAAAAGGACTTATTTTAGAATAAATTTTAAATTAAAAAATTATTATTCTAAAACAACGAGTTATAAATATGTATTAGAAGGACTTAATTGATCTAAAAATAAAGTTAGAGAACTAGATTGAGAAATTATAATAAGGTAACGAGCTAACTTAAGAATTATTCTGAAATTATGAACGCAGACAGCAGAGCTGGGTTGCAGATTTCAATATTTTAGAATCTCTTATTTTTAATAATAAAGAAGATTATTATTTAATTATTTAAATTACTAAATATAAATTTTATATTTTTATTTAAAAAATAAAAAAATAAAAAATAATATAATTTAAATTATATTATATAAATTTTTAAATAAA